CTGCGCGTAGTCCGTGGCTCTCCCGAGTTCTGTGTCTCAGCCTCGTTGTCTCGGGGGGAAGAAGAGCAGGCGATGTGAGTCAGTTAAGGGCATACAGGGGTTCTTGCCGCGCTGTTCTCTACGCCCGCCCCCACCCCTATCCCCATTTGGGGGAAAGTTTTGAAAAATTTCAAAAGAAAGGGAAAAATAAATGGAACAGCAGCCCCCACATTCACCCACGGGCCCGCTTTCCTGGCCCTTGAAATACTGGTCATTCCCGACAGCCCGCCCAGCGTCTCTCCCGCTGTCGAGCGAGCGCTGGGAGGGCGGCACTTCGTCTGCATTCTGTCGCGCTGATCACTTTTTCTATTGATTGCACGTTGTATTTTGTGTTTCAGATGGTTTCCCTTACTTAAGGCTCAGGCCTCATGGTTCTTTATTGAATTTAATTTTGAAAGAATTTCAAACTTATAGTTTTGATTGATTTTTTTTTTCCAGTCTTGGTGCTTTATCATATTTTCATATCTCTGCAATCTGTCATCTGGCGTTTCATTTCTGGTTATTTTAGATAGGTACCCCCTTTTCTCGGCCCCCTTTTTTCCGTTTATGAAAATGGAGGTTGAATTGACATGCAGTGACGTTCACCCACTGAGTGAGCGACAGTTCTGTACGGTCACAGGACCACTGCCACCAGAAGGTAAAGAACGGCACCATCACCCCACAATTCCGATGCCTGTTGTATCACCCCTGACCCTGGCTTCTGCCCTCAGCAACTGCTCACCTATTTGCCATCTCTGTAGGTTTGTGTTTTTTTAAATACGTTTTTATAGATTTCAGAGGAAGGGAGAGGGAGACCACCTGGGTGGGCCTGTGTGACTTCCCATGTTGCCGCTGCTGCCGTCCCCAGGGTGGTACCTTGACTGGCAGGTACATTCTCAGGACGCCCCATGCACACGGGCACCTGGGGAGGCCCCGGGCAGGTGCCCATGTCGTGGGTCGTGGATGCTGTGCATTCCCACCGGCCTCCACGCGGCCTCGAGCAGTTCCTTAGAGTTTTTTGCTGCATCATTTTATCTGCTTGTTTGACATGCGGGCCTCTTCCCCAGGTGAGGCAGGTGCTTGGGTCTCACCTCCGCCCGGCAGTGCCTGTCCTTCCTTCGCAGGTGACTTGGTGGCCCTGAAACTCCTGCACCTGCTGGGTCCAACAGGAGTGAATGTGCAGATTGTCTGGCGAGCACTGGTCGCGAGGTGGGGCAGTGCTCTGCAGCGTTCCGCTTCCGAAGTGGAGACCAGGGGTTCCCCCTGGGCCCCCCAAAGTCAACAGATTACTTGGTGTTCGACTGTCCTTGCTTCTACATCTCTTACCACCTTTCCTCACACTTCAGTAACCTGAGCACTTCTCCAGAAGCACCTTCATGTTAGCACTGGGCACGAGTGTGGTACATTTGTTACAGCTGATACCCCGTTTTGATACACTATTATTAACTAAAGCCCCTAGTTTACACTAGGGCTCGTTCTTTGTGTCACAGAGGGGACCTGCTGTTACAGTGTATCCTATGGGGCAGTTTCTCCCCCCTCCTAACCCCTGCCCCGCCTCCGTCCTGCCCATTCCTGCCGACCCCTCTCACTGCCCGTCTCACTGCCAGCCGGACAGCCGCTTACATTTGTGATGTGTCTGTCCCCGAGCGCGTGTGATGCGGTGTTCTTCGCAGTGCAGTGAACGGCCCGCCAGGTGGTTAAGTACAGCTGCGCTGCCGCGTGTTACAGAGCTGGCGCGGAACCGTGTGCCC